CTGTACTGGCTCTGACAGTTTAACACCCATGACATTCTGTACTGACTTTGACATTAAACACCAATGACATTGAGTATTGAATCTGACAGTTAACCATCAATTTCATTCTGTATAGACTATGACAGCTAAACACCAATGACATTCTGTACTGACTGACAGTTTACAACAATGGTACTCTGTAATGAATCTGACAATTAAACAACAATGACATTCTGTACTGACACTGACAATAAAACACCAAAGTCATTCTGTACCGATTGTGACAGTTTAACATCAATGGAATTCTGTACTGGCTCTGACAGTTTAACACCCATGACATTCTGTACTGACTCTGACATTAAACACCAATGACATTGAGTATTGAATCTGACAGTTAACCATCAATTTCATTCTGTATAGACAATGACAGCTAAACACCAATGACATTCTGTACTGACTGACAGTTTACAACAATGGCACACTCTGTAATGAATCTGACAATTAAACAACAATGACATTCTGTACTGACTCTGACAGTTAAACACCATAACATTGTGTACTAAATCTGACAGTTAACCATCAATTTCATTCTGTATAGACTATGACAGCTAAACACCATTGACATTCTGTACGGACTCTTGACAGTTTACAACAATGGCACGCTGTAATGAATCAGACAATTAAACAACAATGACATTCTGTACTGACTCTGACAGTTAAACACCATAACATTGTGTACTAAATCTGACAGTTAACCATCAACTTCATTCTGTATCTACTGTGACAGCTAAACACCAATGGCATTCTGTACAGATTCTGACAGATAAACACCAATAACATTATGTTTTGACTTGACTGTAAGTGCTGCTCTACACCTATTGCAATTAATTCAAAATTCTGACCAAATTGAAATTTTTTTTATCAAACAAAACTGTTCAACTGGTCAGATATATTTGAACAAACTGCTGTAGAAAACCACATTCAAGTCATTAGAGTGCAAGGTGATAAAATAAAGCAACACTTACAGTCAAGTCACAATAACTAGTAAAACAGCTATGTCAATCTGTACTGACTCGGGCAGTAAAACATAATTGACATTCTGTACTGAGTGTGACAGTTTAATGCCTATGACATTCTATACTAATTCTGACAGCTAAACACCAATGACATTCTGTACTGACTCTGGCAGTTAAACATCTTTGCATTTTATATTGATTCTGTTAGTTAAACATTAATTAATCCGAGGCGGATTTAGAGGGTTTTCCAGGGGGCCTGGGCCCCCCCTTTTGTGGGAAAAATTTGGTTGATTATTTAGTGATTCACTGAAGCATGATGGGAGCGGGCCCCCTCTTAGGCAGTCAGTGGGCACCCCCCCCCCCCCCCCCTTTATGAAAATTTCTGGATCCGCCACTGTTAATGACATCCTGTACTGACTCAAGATTACAGTTGAACACCAATGACAATCTGCACTGACTAGATGTAAGTTAAACATTAATGACATCAATGTCATTCTGTTGTTATACATTGCTGTGAATGTTAAACAGCACTGACATTCTCAATCAATTCTAGTATTCATCATCATTGCAATTTGTGTTGACTATGGCAGTTACATTGTGAATACACTCGGTTGTGACTTTGACAGTTAAACATCAAATATTCTGTATGACAATAATATCCAGTTTAATATGGATTGATTGATTAATTGTTGGTGTTTAACACTGCTGTCAGTACTATTGGCTTTTTTTGGCAGACAGTTTTCATTGGAAGGAGGAAGCTGGAATGCAAGGAGAAAACCACCAACCTTCGCCAGGAAAACTGACAATCATAGTCAATTAAGGTTGGAATCAATTCAATCAAATCTGATAAAGCTACATATAAATAATCATTATGTTTGAGATCTTGAATAGAACAAATGTTGCTTTGGTCTCTGGTGGATTGTTGTCTCATTAGCAATCATATCACATCTCTTTATTTTCATATACATGTAAGAAATTATCATTATTCTGTAGCACAATTTTTTTCAATGAAAATATCAATTTTCTAGCCTCAAATGATTCTAAAGGACTTCTGACTTTTACAGGACACTAGTCAAATAAACTGTAATAATAATCTGGCCTTTGTTAGTCTTGTATGTTTTTTTAATTTTGGTTCATTTATATGTTTCGGAGTTTAGTTGGACGTTCATTAGCTGAACTAGTATACATTATTGTTTAGGGGCATGCTGAAGCCCACCTACAGGTGCAGGATTTTCGCACTGTGTCGAAGACCCATTGGTGGCTTTGGGCTGTTTTTTGCTCATTGGTCGGGTTGTTGTCTCTTTGACGCATTCCTCATTTCCATTCTCAAATTTATGAAATAACTGAGTGTAAAAAAAGCAAAGAAATAAAAGAATAATTTTGCCTTCTTTTACATGTACTTTAGGGCTAGGGGTCACTTCTACTTTAGGGTTAGGGTTCATTTTACTGTTAGGGTTGTGTTTTGGCTTGTAGTTTCGAATAGCTGTTAATGGGTAATGATGGGTTGTGATCCCTAACATTATGCTGCCCTTAAGCCCTTTACTGCATCTTAATTTAACAATTTTTTTGTACAAATATATATATATATATACAGAATTAAGGCACTATAAATATTATCAATCAAATTATACTACAGACAAACATCCTAACAACTTATAAAATATAATAATGGGCAATTACGTAGGGGAAACATCAAAAGCTTTGGCTCTGACAAATAAAGACTTTATAATTAATCTTATAGATGTTACAGACATTTAATTAATGGAAATCATGCAAGCAATTATATCGAGGAATGAGGATAAAAAGAATACAATTACAAAGACTGGACTGTAACTGACAAAAGATGACAATACACATCACCTATAAAATCCTTCTATATATCTAATCAATATCATATAAATGGTTACTTCTATTTATCTTTGTGACGAAAAACTTTTATAATATATAGTATATATCATACTTTATAATAACTCTCATCCTTTTAGTTTTGATTTCAATCACATGAACTAATAAAAAATGCAATGAAACAGGGAATTCAGTGATTATATTGATAATTTTACAAGAGGCTTACAGGAGACATAATTGATCACTTGGTAAAATTAAGCAACATTAAAATCATTAGGAAAAGTGGGAGCCAGGTATATTGTGAACAGGGTTGATCATGATCTAGGTATTGTAAAGAGGGAAATTATTGCAAAGGTTTATTTATGTCAATTTTGTGATTAAACTAGGGTATACATTTTGTACTATTACAAAAAATACCCTCACTAAAACCTGATGTTAAGCCAGATCAGAATTAGGGCAAAGAATAATGTTAAAATAAAATCTTGTAAACAGGGCTTATCGTAGAAATCGTGAAATTGTAACTCCAAAGAAAATTATTCACTTAACAGTCATGTACCAAGTCAGGAAAATGGCCATTGTTATATTATAGTTCGTTTCTGTGTGTGTTACATTTTAATGTTGTGTTTTTGTTGTGTCGTTGTTCTCCTCTTATATTTGATGCGTTTCCCTCAGTTTTAGTTTGTAACCCGGATTTGTTTTTATCTCTATCGATTTATGAGTTTCGAACAGCGATATACTACTGTTGCCTTTATTCATGATACCGAAATGAACAAAATATCAATGTTTTTTCATCAAATGAAGACGGACATAAGAGCAATTATTTGACTACTGAATTTTTCAGAATAAATTTAATGTCATTGATAAATATAAATAAGATTACATAAATTTAGTATGGTCAAATCTGGTGAAGCATGTACATTTCAATTGTCCCATACATGTAGATACAATATTTCAATAATTGATATATATTAGATTTAAAATGTTTATAATTCAAAATGAAATTACATAATAGCAACAGCTTTAGCTGCATCATTTCATTAGCTAATTATTTTCCATGGGAGATGATCAATTTTTTCTTTCGAAAAGTCTTCTATATTCAAAAGAATAATGTTTTAGGTTATCTCCCATGGAAACTTATTAACAAAGTATTGTGATTTGTCATAACATTGATTCGAAGTGGAATTAAAGTCTTATAGGATTGTAAGTATGCTTTATTTTATCACCTTGCACTTTCACGACTTGACTGTAATGATTATAAAAATACATAAATATTTGTAGTCATAAAAAAAAATCAATTATCATATGAAGGCCATCTCAAATATAATTATACTACATTACTATCAGTTAAATTGTTTGTATTTCATGACAAAACCATTTAATGGAAATGTGTTTGTGCAAATAAACATTGTCTTTTGCATAACACTAAATTATGAGCAAGATTGATAAATTGCCTAGCGCTACTGTTTTAATATAAACCAAATGAACAGCTAGCTTAATTAAGTGCAACATTCAAACAAAATAATCAATTTAATATAATTCATCTTTTAATTTACAGTAAAATGAGGTCCTTTATTATGATATCATTGCTAAAAAAACAATAGATAATGTAGATGGTCTTTACAAAAAATATTGGGGAATCATCTTAACGTTGAGCAATGCAAGCAAACTAAACAAAAACAACACCCAAACAAAATTGATTCACAAGGTTTTTTTTAATACCTGACCTGAAAATTGATAATTTAATTATTGCTAAAAAAAAGAATAACTGCATAATTTTAAACCTGTCATGATCTCCATATTCTCCCCACACTAAATCTCTAAATCTGTATCGCGGAGGCAACGGTGGTACTGTTGATAAAACATCACTTTCCATTTTTATCCACTAGGGTACCATCATTTTCAGCATCATGTATCTAGGTGAAGTCATTTATCGAATTCCTTAGCAAAACGATAGCACCGAAACAAAAGAATATTAGAAATTGAAATTTACAATCTAACAATACTTAAATTAGGAAAACCTGATCGGAAAGTTTTGATAAATAGCTTCTTCTGTGTATGAAAATTCATTTACGACGACCATTTATCAAATGAAGAGTCATTCCATAGTTTCGTTTTGTTTTATTTGTAATTTTATAATTTTTATTTTCACTTGACCTATATTTACTGTTAAATTATTGTGATTCGCCGGTTCACAGAGCAGTTATTTTATTGATTTGGAGTTGTAACACGATACTATCATGACTATTGACTAAGTGAACGTTCGTTATAGTTCACACCTCAGTCTAATGGTTATCCATGGTAAGAATATTTTGACTGAGTTTTGTGTACAGAGATCAAGTTTGAAGGAAAAAGGGGGAGTTGTCGATCATGACATGGAATAGAAGTTTCTTTTACAATTAAATATTAGCTCAAATTGGAATAGTCATTCTAGAAAATTATGTTATTATTTCCAGTGGAAAAGATATAACAATATTTGTTGTTGACAGAATAATTTTAAATAGTATAGAATATTGGTTCCAACAGCCTGAACAAGTATGGGTGATTGGGTCCATGCCCTGGGACGGGCTGGGTCCCTTTGCCCTACTTTAAACAAAATTTAATATAGCAGTATTAACACAGGCACTTGTCTTGCCCTACTTTAAACAAAATTTAATATAGTGGTATTAACACAGGCACTTGTCTCAGAAAAAAAAATTCCTATATACCTTAATATAACAAAATTAAGGTATATATGAAATTTTTTTCTGAGACAAGTGCCTGTGGGTATTAAGGTTTAGTAAACATATTCAGACATTTGTATGATCAATATAAGAGAAAATATTTATTCTCGAAATTATAAAAAAATCATGATAATATTTAAAAATCAATGTCTTGTTTTGGAGCATTAATGGCAATAATGGGCTACATTCATGACATTCTTACATTTGTTTTAATTAGAATTAACTAGTCCTCTACTGACGAAGTCGAAAGGGACTATAGGTTTGCACTCTTTCCCTCTGTCTGTCTGTCCATCCATCAGTCTTGCAAATCAGTTTTCTACATTTTTAGCTCACCTGGCCCAAAGGGCCAAGTGAGCTTTTCTCATCACTTGGCGTCCGTCCATTGTCTTAATCGTCATTAACTTTTTACATTTTGAACTTCTTCTAGAGAACCACTGAATGGAATGAAACCAAACATGGCATGACTGTTCCTTATGAGGTGCTGACCAAGTGTTGTTACTTTGTAGGTACTCCATCATCCAAGATGGCCTCCAGAGGGGACTTTGTTTAACATAGGACTCTATGGACGATACATACAAATAAAATTGAGAATGGAAATGGGGAATGTGTCAAAGAGACAACAACCCGACCATAGAACAGACAACAGCAGAAGGTCACCAACAGGTCTTCAATGTAACGAGAAATTCCCGCACCCGGAGGCGTCCTTCAGCTGGCCCCTAAACAAATATATATACTAGTTCAGTGATAATGAACGCTATACTAAACTCCAAATTGTACACAAGAAACTAAAATTAAAAATAATACAAGACTAACAAAGGCTAGAGGCTCCTGACTTGGGACAGGCGCAAAAATGCGCGGGGTTAAACATGTTTATGAGATCTCAACCCTCCCCCAATACCTCTAGCCAATGTAGAAAAGTAAACGCATAACAATACGCACATTAAAATTCAGTTCAAGAGAAGTCCGAGTCTGATGTCAGAAGATGTAACCAAAGAAAATAAACAAAATGACAATAATACATAAATAACAACAGACTACTAGCAGTTAACTGACATGCCAGCTCCAGACTTCAATTAAACTGATTGAAAGATTATGTCTTCATCATATGAATATCAGGCACAATCCTTCCCGTTAGGGGTTTAGTATCATACCATCATAACATATACAAGAAGAACATAACCCGTGTCATGCCAACAACTGGTTTTTAAATAAATGTGTTTAGTGCCGATGCAAAGACCCTATAAGTGAATCAATATTAACGCCAAAATATGCAATCTTTAATGACCTGACAACAGTATTGTAACTATATCCCTTCTTAATAAGTCTATTTAAAGGTTTTGTTAGCTTCAGAGGTGAATACTGACATTTTTGTGCTTTATAAAGAATATTTCCATAAAAATTGGATGTGAAATACCTGAGCGTATAAGAAGTCTGCATGTTGAGCTATATTTACGAATGATGTCCTTATACCGATGATAAAATTTAGTAAATGTTTTGACTAGTTTGTGATATCGAAAACCCTGGTGTAATAATTTTTCAGTAATACATAAATTTCTCTCGTTAAAATCTAAAACATTGTTACGTACACGAGCGAATCGTACAAGTTGAGATATATAAACACCGTAAGATGGTGACAAGGGAACGTCACCATCTAAAAATGGATAATTAACGATAGGAAATGAAAAATCATCTCTTTTATCATATATTTTAGTATTAAGCTTTCCGTTAATGATAAAGATATCAAGATCGAGGAAAGGGCAGTGGTCATTGTTAGTATTAGCTTTATTTAAAGTAAGTTCAACAGGATAAATTTCTTTAGTATACATACTGAAGTCGTCATTATTGAGAGCCAAAATATCATCCAAATATCTAAAAGTATTATTAAATGTGTGTATCAGATGTTGTTTCGATGGGTCTTTGCTGATTTTTGTCATAAATTGTAACTCATAGCAATACAAAAAAAGGTCCGCAATAAGTGGTGCACAGTTAGTCCCCATTGGAATTCCGATAACCTGACGATATACGGAATCTCCAAAGCGAACAAAAATGTTATCTAGTAAAAATTCAAGGGCATATATAGTATCAAAGCATGTCCAATTGACATAGTTTTTTTGTTTATTGCTACTAAAAAATGACCTAAAAGAGTTTGAACATATATATTCACATTCTGACTTTTTAAATGCCCATTTAATTAGGTGTGTGAATGTCTTCTTTTAGAGAACCACTGAATGGAATGAAACCAAACATGGCATGAATGTTCCTTATGAGGTGCTGACCAAGTGTTGTAACTTTGTAGGCGATCAATCTCCAAGATGGCCCCCAGCGGGGACTTCGTTTAACATAAAATGTAGGACCCTACATGTATATGGACAATACAAACATTGTACAAATGTCTTCTTTTAGAGAACCACTGAATGGAATGAAACCAAACATGGCATGAATGTTCCTTATGAGGTGCTGACCAAGTGTTGTAGCCAATCAATCATCCAAGATGGCTGCCAGCGGGTAGCTTAGTTTAACAAAGGACCCTATGTGAAATACATACAAAAGTCTTCTTTTGAAGAACCACTGAATAGAATGTTCCCTATGAGGTGCTGACCAAGTGTTGTTACTTTGAAGCCGATCCATCTTCCAAGATGGGCCAGCAGGGGACTTAGTTTAACATAGAACCCTATGGACAATACATACAAATGTCTTCTTTTAAAGAACCACTGAATGGAATGAAACCAAACATGGCATGAATGTTTCTTATGAGGTGCTGACCAAGTGTTGTTACTTTGTAGCAAATCCATCGACCAAGATGGCTGCCAAGGGGGGACTTAGTTTAACAAAGGACCCTATGGGAAATATATATACAAATGTCTTCTTCTAGAAAACCGCTTAATGGATTGAAACCAAACATGGTATGAATGTTTCCTTTGAGGTGCTGACCAAGTGTTGTTACTTTGGAGCTGATTTGTCATCCAAGATGGCTGTCAGCAGGGGGAGTAAGTTTAACATAGGACCCAATGGGAAATACATACAAAAGTTTTCTTCTACATGTTCTAGAGAACCACTGAATAGAAATTAAACAAACATGGCATAAATGTTCCTAATGAGGTGCTGACCAAGTGTTGTTGCTTTGTAGCCGAACCATCATCCAAGATGGTCGCTATCAGTGGACTTAGTTTAACATAAGACCCTAAGGGAAATACATACAAATGCTTCTTCTAGAGGAGCACTGAATGGAATGAAACCAAACATGGCATAAATGTTCCTTTAATACATGGTGCTGATGATGACCTTAATACATGTATCTTTATAGATTGAGATATACTGTAAACTGCAAAAATATCAACAAAAGAAGATCTACACATAAGTCAACATGAGCATGATGAGCAAAATTGTCAATTGACCAAGTGAGCTTTTCTCATCACTTGGCGTCCGTCATCCGACATCGTCGTCAGTTAACTTTTACAAAAATCTTCTCTGAAACTACTGGGCCAAATTTAACCAAACTTGGCCACAATCCTTACTAGGGTATCATGTTTTAAAAATGTGTCCCATGACCCCGCCTGCCAACCAAGATGGCCGACATGGCTTAAAATAGAACATAGGGGTAAAATGCAGTTTTTGGCTTATATCTCTGAAACTAAAGCATTTAGAGCAAATCTGACATGGGGTAAAAAGGTTCATCAGGTTAACATCTATCTGCCCTGATATTTTCAGATGAATCAGACAACCAGTTGTTTGTTGCTGCCCCTGAATTAGTAATTTTAAGGAAATTTTGCAGTTTTTTGGTTATTATCTTGAATATTATTATAGGTAGAGATAAACTGCAAACAGCATTAATGTTCAGCAAAGTAAGATCTACAAATAAGTCACCATGACCAAAATGGTCAATTGACCCCTTAAGGAGTTATTGCCCTTTATATTCAATTTTTAACAATTTTTCGTAAATTTTTGTAATCTTTTACAAAAATCTTTTCTTATGAAACTACTCTACCAAATTTAACCAAACTAAGGTATCTAGTTTAAAAATGTGTCAGATGACCCCACCTGCCAACCAAGATGGCCAACATGGCTAAAAATAGAACATAGGGGTCAAATGCAGTTGGCTGTGATCGAAATTTTGATTCTGATTTGCATTCGTCCTAGTATCTGTTGGCCCTGGGTCCTTTCGCTCTGATTTTTATTTTATTTTGTTGTCTTGTTGTATAATGCTTATTATTTGAAAAGAGTATGTTAAAGTTTGTTGAAAATTTCCCCGAAAAGTTATGTTGTATTGCTGCTACCAAAACATTATTTTGACCTGTACTGTAGAGTACCAGGAATACAAGGTATTTAATATAAACCAACATACGGTAAGAGCATGTTATTGATAAATTTTAACAGACTCAGAGATCAACCAATTAAAATACTGGATTTGGTGTTTCATGCACACATTTTGTACTCCGAGTACTGAGTCAAGTTTTATGACAGGGAACCCAGGGCGAACGGACCTGGATTCGTTCCAACAGGAACAGACACACATGTAATGATGTACAAAAAATGTACAATGTATAGCATACATGTATTGTTTATTTAGAACAAAGTTAACAGAGCAGTAAAAACATGTTAATTTGAAGGGGCCATGGTAAAAATTACATATGACACCTCCATCATACGAAAAAAACACTATGACAATCTTCAGTTTATTCCATAGGGGTGCCATGCCGGTCTTGGATACTATAAGCTATAATGCTAGTCAACTATGTTTGGTGAATGGAATTTTTATAAGGTGTACATGTCAATCAGGCAGGGTTCATCTGACCTTGAACATGTTTTCATGGTTCATTGGTCTATGCTATGTTTTTGTGGTCAGGTGGTCTGAGGACACGGTTATCGTCCTTAGATTTTCGTTGTCTACAAATATAGTCCCTAGCTATATAGTGTGGACAGTGTATAACTTGCAATTTTTTTTCATACACTTTTCAAATTTATTTCTTTATATTTTATGCATGAAATATTAAGTGAGGGGATGAAATTACATGTTAAAAAAATTTGGGTGCTAAATCTTTATGTTAAGTAGTGATTTGGTCCAGTTAAAAAAGGGTCAAAAACTAGTATGTCTGAAGCTGTCAAACTGAATTTTAGACCCCCTTAACATAGCATTGTCAATATTTTGAGATAGAGCTGGAAGACTTTTCTATAATTTTGACATTATTTGTCCCAATAGTAGTACACTACACTGTAAAAATCTTTTTGAGATAGAGCAGGTGCAATTTTTTTCTTTTAACTTTATTGTCTAAAAGAATTGCACTACGAAATAACTGTGTTCTCGGGCCAGGTACGTCTGTTTTTCAGATATGTACACCTAGCAAAGGTCAATATTTGGTGTATTGAATGATTGTAAGATGTTATTGTTTATCTGACTGGATTCATCTGAACTTTACCTCATTTTCATGGATCATTGATTTAGTATTAATGTTTAGGTTTACACGTTTTTTGTACTTTTAGTTCATGAAATTTTCAGGAAATGATGATACTTTATTACGATTTAAATGGTTATTTATTGTTTCCTTTGTAAATTTTTGTAATTCTGGTATAAGAACTATATAAAAGAAATGAAAGAGTTTGAGTCAATTTGGTGGTAATGAGTTTGTATATAAGTAAATGGCATTTGTAGGCAAATGATAAAGGACTGTTGAATAAACTTTCCAAAACTCTTATTTCACTGAGTAACTCAGTGTTTAGACTTTCCTTTATATTGTTTATATGATAGCTTCATGATCTTATTTTGATTATGAATAAAAGTAGAAATGGGGTGTACATCAGTGAGGCAGCAACCCAACAACAAAAATGATATTTATATCAGCCAAACTTTTCTTTTTAACCTTTGTTACTAATTTAATTAGCCTATACATGTAGGTAGAACCACATTTTGCTTTAATTTGAACTTTTTAAAAAGTTGATTTTTAATTTTTTTTATAGATTGAAGCCAGTTACAGCAATGTTCAAAGGAAGTACATGTATAGGATTTATTGAACAGCAGTATACAGGATATGAAGTTAAAATGGAAAATTATAGTTTTGATCAATATTATCTTCATCTTTTTTGTTTCATTTAAAATTTTACAACCTGAGAATGAGGATGAAGATGTATGGGGAGATAATCCATTACCAACTTCAGCATCGAGGGAAAGTAGACAGCTGGTTAAGATTTTGCAGGAGAAATACATGTTAAAATCAGAATATTGTCAATCTGATGATGATCCATGGAAGATTGCAGCTGATTGGGTTAAAAGAAGAGAGATTATCCCTGAAAATGCTCCAAAACTAGGTAATACTGTGTTATTATGTACACTCCAAAAAATAACATTTCTCAATTTATGGCAAACATTTTAAACATTAACTTGATATCTTTGCAATGAAGATAACTGAGCAAAGTTTATGTTTTAGGAATGATGAAAGTTAAGCTATTCAACCTTGTCATGATCCATTAATCCACTCTAGTGAGTCATTAGGTGACATTGTAATGATCCATTAATCCACTCTAGTGAGTCATTAGGTGACATTGTCATGATCCATTAATCCACTCTAGTGAGTCATTAGGTGACATTGTCATGATCCATTAATCCACTCTAGACTAGTGAGTCTTTAGGTGACATTGTAATAATCCACTCTAGTGAGTCATTAGGTGACATTGTAATGATCCATTAATCCACTCTAGTGAGTTATTAGGAAACATTGTCATGATCCATTAATCCACTCTAGTGAGTCATTAGGCGACATTGTAATGATCCACTCTAGTGAGTCATTAGGTGACATTGTAATGATCCACTCTAGTGAGTCATTAGGTGACATTGTAATGATCCATTAATCCACTCTAGTGAGTCATTAGGTAACATTGTCATGATCCATTAATCCACTCTAAAGAGTCATTAGGTGACATTGTAATGATCCACTCTAGTGAGTCATTAGGTGACATTGTAATGATCCACTCTAGTGAGTCATTATGTGACATTGTAATGATCCACTCTAGTGAGTCATTAGGTGACATTGTAATGATCCACTCTAGTGAGTCATTAGGTGACATTGTAATGATCCATTAATCCACTCTAGTGAGTCATTAGGTGACATTGTAATGATCCACTCTAGTGAGTCATTAGGTGACATTGTAATGATCCACTCTAGTGATTCATTAGGTGACATTGTAATGATCCACTCTTGTGAGTCATTAGGTGACATTGTAATGATCCACTCTAGTGAGTCATAAGGTGACATTGTAATGATCCATTAATCCACTCTAGTGAGTCATTAGGTGACATTGTAATGATTCACTGTAGTGAGTCATTAGGTGACATTGTAATGATCCACTGTAGTGAGTCTTTAGGTGACATTGTAATGATCCACTCTAGTGAGTCATTAGGTCACATTGTAATGATCCACTCTAGTGAGTCATTAGGTGACATTGTAATGATCCATTAATCCACTCTAGTGAGTCATTAGGTGATATTGTCATGATCCATTAATCCACTTTAGTGAGTCATTAGGTGACATTGTAATGATCCATAGATCCACTCTAGTGAGTCATTAGGTGACATTGTCATGATCCATAGATCCACTCTAGTGAGTCATTAGGTGACATTGTCATGATCCATAGGTCCACTCTAGTGAGTCATTAGGTGACATTGTCATGATCCATTAATTCGCTCTAGTGAGTCATTAGGTGACATTGTAATGATCCACTCTAGTGAGTCATTAGGTGACATTGTAATGATCCACTCTAGTGAGTCATTAGGTGACATTGTAATGATCCACTCTAGTGAGTCATTAGGTGACATTGCAATGATCCACTCTAGTGAGTCATTAGGTGACATTGTAATGATCCACTCTAGTGAGTCATTAGATGACATTGTAATTTCATTGTATGACTGGAAAACATTCAGTGGCATTTTGAATTCTTTCTGACAATTGTTCTGATTTTATGAAACAGATTTATTTAGATTAAACAATATTGTTTTTTGTTTGTACTTGCCTTCTAATGAGATGTCTAGATATAATACCACCCAAAGGTAGACATTGTATAGTACTGGGAACTCCATCAAAATGAATCAATATCATATGTACTCAAATTAAATGAACACATCACCACATATTGTTTTGGTTATGTGTGTTCAATATAAAAGTTCTGTGCAACACTAGACTTAGATCTCTACCAGCATAGAGATGCTTATTTTCATTCGTTTGTGGCAAGACAAAAAAATGTCTCACTAAAACATATATATAATATATTTGTTTTTCTCATTAATTAACTATTAAAGAAATGTGTTTTCATCCTTTTCCACTAAACAATTACATGTGCATGAAAATGCAAACAATGAACATTTCTCAAAAATCATTACATATTATCCATTGTCTGGAGATTCCAAACAGGAGAACAAAGGTAGTGTTTCAACTCCAAATTCCTGTCTTTATTTTTTTTCTTGATTCCAGGAATTTTGACAATGATTTTGATGAAAGGTACCTTTAAAAACTTTTATAATTCGTCATTAGATGTATAAAAAAACTTGGCCTGGCTGTTGATGATTTTTTTCTTTAACCTCATAGGGACTACATGAAGGTTCTAAAGGAACCTGAAATGCAACTTGGTGCCCTGACATGGTTTTAAATCACAAAGTAAATGTCAATTTCCAAATGAAACATGGTTAATTTCAGGGAATATTATTTGACACACTTACATAAAATGTATCAATAAAAACAGGATGGGAATGCTGGAATGTTTATTGTGTTCCAAAGGAGACTAAAATACAGATTAGTGGACAAAATCAGGAGTTTGTTAGCCCATGATTTTTAACTGATATTTTCACCTATTACTCACTTTATTGATAAACTTGATATAATTCTGGGTGTAAAACAGCTATTTCAGGAGAGATGATGCCACAATAAAAATTAAAATTAGTAGCATCATCTAAAGAGACATTATGATTAATTTTTAATCATTTTTTTGTTCCTTTGGAGAAACCAGCTAGATAATTCATCATATGTTATAAAATTTGTCTTTGTTAAGAAAATTTTTGTAATAAATAGTATTAAGGGCTAAATTGCCTAGTTCAAGTTTCAACCAGGACTTTATGTTTCCAAAATACCAAAAGTCTTCAAATTCAGACAGTTAAAAGAGAGATAACTCTTTTTGTGTTTTATGTTTTGAAAAAAAGTAAAATAACAAAATATGTTTCATAAAGTCAGGGGTGCTACTTAAACAAGTGATTTCGTCATCACTTATTTCAGTGATTTGATAAATTCAGTTATCACCTATTTAAGTGATTTTAGTGTTTTCTTTGATCTTCAAATGCTAATTTCATTGATTTTCCATATTTTCACAATCTTTTCTATAATTTTCCTACATAAATCAATTATCCCTTTTTCTTTGTACATTAATTTCACCAGTGCTCTTGGGCAGTAAGTTAGTGCGCTAAAGCTTTTAAAAGTACCCTTGGGAATTTTTCTGTAATCAAAAATTCATTAACTACTCTTACTATCAGACAAAGATCAACAATATTAGGTAACCTGATTGGTTTTCTTTAGAGTTAGAATGATCTACTTCAAGGTTATGACCTAGCTGATCTACAAACTATTCCAGTTTTTGCATATTTAAAAAAAACTGTAAAAGTGTCAGGCTTATCAAGCAAAAGACAATTTCTGCATGTACATAGTTGTTTTTTCAATGGAATTGTTGTCTTTTTACCAATAAAAAAATCAAGCTTGTGGGAAAAATATCAAGAAAATGTTATAAACACTTATTAAAGTGATTACATTTTAACTTTTAAAATAACTTGTTTCAGTGATTTTAAAAAGTCTGTGTGAAAATTTTTAATATTTCACAGCCAAAATCACTCGAGGAAGTGATTCTGAAATCACTTGTTTAAGTAGTACCCCTGACTAGGAGAGAAATTAATTATTTTTTACCATAAAAAGTTTTCTTTAAAATTTATTTTTATGAAGCTTTTAATTTGAATTTATTTTTCTGATGCCTGTTTATAAAAGCTATCCAAATTTTTATTAGCTGTTGAAATATTTTTTCTGGATGATTTTTGAGTATAATGGAAGAATAAAGAAAATCTTTCTCCAAAAAAGTGTCTTTTTTATCAGTTCTGTACAGCATTCTAGCTTGAGGACTGATAGCTAACCGACCAATAAAAGGATTTTTATTTTCATGATACCAATGTTCTCACTGACAAAATATAAGTGTACTATTTCCTTCTGCCCAATTGGTGGGTGGCCAGGCTTTGAAAGAAATATTGCACATTTGATGATTTTGGGCCGGGTTGCACTTTGTTTTTATGGAGTTGTTTGAAAAATAATTTTTTGTACGACCACAAAAATTTGTGGCCTTGTAATGGTATGACGATGTCGTTACCAGTTTTATTGTTGTCGTCGTCCGAAGCCATTTGGTTTCCAGACAATTGCTTGAGTATAAGTGAATGGATCTCTATGAAATTACACAGCAAGGTTCCATACCACAAAAGGAAGGTTGACATTTAGGTTCAGTCTGTGGTATAAGTTTTTTTAGACATCAGTAACTTTTTCAAACCATCATGGAATTTTAGGAGATAGGAACATATTGGCCCCTATTAAAACATTTAAACCCGCTGCATTTGTTTGCACCTGTCCTTAGTCAGGAACCTGATGTTCAGTGGTTGTTGTTTGTTGATGTGTTTCATAAGTGTTTCTTGTTTCTCGTTTTTTATATAGATTAGACCGTTGGTTTTCCCGTTTGAATGGGTTAACACTAGTAATTTTTGAGGCCTTTTATAGCTTGCTGTTCGGTGTGAGCCAAGGCTCTGTGTTGAAGGCCGTACTTTGACCTATAATGGTTTACTTTTACAAATTGTGATTTGGATGGAGAGTTGTCTCATTGGCACTCATACCACATCTTCTTATATCTATATAAGCTTTCTTATGACCAAAAGATAGTTTACAGAGGAAAATTTTGAAAATATTGTTTTTTTTCATTTTTCTGTATTTTACTGATAAATGGACTTACCCATTGTTGAAGGCTATATGGTGACCTATAGTTATTGATTTCTGTGTCTGTTGGTCTCTTATTGTGAGTTGTCTCATTGGCAATTATACCATAACTTCTTATTTTTATATTCGTTTTTTTTTACAGTAAACATTTTCAGAAAGATTAAGGTTGGAGTTTTCTGTCATCTGTAAATTTGACAAACCATCATGGAATTTTATGTTAATTGGACAGAAGCTTTTTAATGATAAAAAGATAGAACAAAATAATCAAAACGGTCAGATTACTTTTTTGAGGAGTTATTACCCTTATAT